AGTTAACGTTTTACTGACAAAAATCACTGAGCTGCTGAGGAAGACCTTGGTCAACACCGTTTTACTGGGAGGAATTATGGCTTACAGTCTGCTGACATACCAGCCTTGTTTTGAATTGCTCAGCAGAAACACTCAAAATAATAATAAAACAAAATTTCCCGGTAGAATAAAGATTCTATGAAAATACAACCTTATTTCTACCTCATTAAAAAAAAAAAACAGCAAGCAATCAAAGCAAAAATTACAATGAAATCAGCAAGGAATTGAAATAACATGGTATTCTTGTTAATTAAAGTTTTAAGTTTGGATTTAAAATAGGCATCATAAGAGATGTAGTGTATGTCCAATAAGAGATGGTTCAAGAATCTGGTATCTGATATCTGGTCACCCTAATGTTGATAAAGAACATTAGGGGAAAAAAACTGGAATGAAGATTTCATGAATCTACTGAACACTCACTAATCAAACAGAAGTTATGTGTTGTCATCCAGGGGTGACGGTTAAAAGCCACATCGCCCTGAACATCCCTGTTGTAAAATGATCATATAGAGGCAACTGTTGCTGTCAAACAAACTGCGAAGAGTTAAAGGTAAAGACTATTTCGTAGCAATTCTTTAACAAAATCGTCATTTTAGGTAGAAAATGATTCTTCACAGATAAATAGAAAACATATTTAGAGACGATTCCAAATCTTAACAGGTTTTGACACCGACTAAAACAACCTCAAAGTCTGACATTGCTTAAAACAAATAAAGGATACTGCATTTCTGGCTGCTCAGGTTCAGAGTGGGTAACACTGATGCCTTGCAGCAAGACAGTTCTGTGTTAGATTCCTGACCCGAGGTCTTTTTGCATTGAGTTTGCAAGTTCTCCCTGTGGATGCTCTTAAAAAAACGTCAGCCTCACCCTCTAGGATTTCATTTGGCCCGCTCTAGGAGGTTGGATTGTGCTGAAACTTTGTTGTGCTTGAGGTATAATTTTAGAAAAACCATAGCAGTTATCAACATA